TCCAACACAATTAGATGAAAACACTGGACATAACCCACCCATCAGTCTGGGAGGGAAAAAAAGCACAACTATTTATCAAGCTCTGCTGAAAATTCTTTACTCATTCCTACAACTCTGGCCCCAAGGTTTTCCCCTTCTAAAGGCTATGCCTCCTGCCATCAGGCTCTCCGAGTCCCCCGCACACCTCAGGGCCTCTGCCCTGCCATCTCCTCTCCCTGCGACGCTCTACTCCCCTCTCCATTCCTCCAGTTTACACTTCGGGTCAAATGTCACTTCCTCAGAAAGTCTCCCTGGCCCTCTTCCCTCCAAACTAGCTTAGGACCACCCCCATCACACACGCACCCCATCACTCTCCTTTGAAACTTCATAGCACTGGTTGGTGTTTGTTTCATTTTTATTAATGCCTGTCTCTGGGCTACATGGAGAGCTCCCCAGACAGAAATTGTGTTCATCTTGTCGGGTCTGTACCCCTAGTGCCTAAGCACACAGAATGAGTGAGTGAGTGAATGAATGAGTGAACAAAAATTGCCCAGGCCTTCCTAAAACACGAGTCAGTGAACTACAGCCCAGGGGCCATATCAACCTGCTGCCTATATTTACATAGCTAGAAGCCAAGAATCGTCTTTACATTTTCAGACAGTTGAAAAAAAAATCAAAAGAATAGTACTTTGTGACTTGTGAAAATCACATGAAATTCAAATTTCAGAGCCCAGAAATAAAAATTTGGGGACCACAGTTACACTTCTTCTCTAGAACAGCAGAGTAGTGGCAGAGGCGGCACAGGCTCAAGACCTAAAACATCCACACCCGGCCTTTTACATTCAACACTCCCTCTCTGCTACCAGTGTCCTCAGAGTCTAGACCGTGGGCATGAAACACAAGAGATCTGGAAATTAAGGACTGATGGTAATCCCTGCTTGGACTCCTGATGCCGGTTATGTTTGTGAGCATTCACTGAAGGGCAGCCAACTCTGTGACATGTGGTGAGACTGTCATTTAATACATTTGAGAATTCTCGCTGATCGCTTCTAAAATGTCGGCGCTTACACCAAAACCAATGCTAGGTAACAGCCTTCTACTCATTCATTCAACAAACGTCTACCTGGGCACCTACTCTGTGCAGGCACTGTTCTTGGGGGTGAGGATACAAACAGTGGTCCGCAGGGGTCCTCCAGAGCAGGGAACAAGGTGGAGATTATACTACAATGAGGACTGTGTGACAGGCAGTGGGAAACAGACAGTCACTGGGATATCACACACAAGAGACTGTACCTGCCTTTAAGGAACTTACCCACTAGGAAGCCATGACAAACTAATGAAAAGTTATGTCTCGATAAAACATTTAAATAATACTTCAAGACCCCTGAGCGGGTGCTCCAGGGAAGAACAGCTTAGCAGAACCATTTAGCCAGCGAGGCTGGTTCACCGCATCTATTTTGTACTGAACACACTATGATTAGCCAAGCTAACAAATGTTTGTCATTAAGCTGAGAGCAGTTTCAACACCAGAGAATGTGCATCCTTCCCACAAAAGTGGGTTTTAAGAATAGGGACACATGATTGTTCAGTTACATGTGACTCAGAAAGCAGCACACATGTCCATTTGAACACCAAATGCCTTCAAGAAAGGGAACAGAGGGAGCAGGGTTCATCTGCTGGCAGTCTGGTGGTACTCCTTGCTCCAGAGGCTGCAGAGACCTGGCAGGGCAGGATTTACCCCCAATCACATGCTCTCCTTCCCTAAGTGCCAGCTCACTCCAGAACTGTCTCCTGAGCCTCAGATCCCAGTTGAGCTCAGTGAGAAGCCTCCAGCACCACCCCCGCCACACACACAGGAAGCATTAGACTCTGCCGGACTGTTGTAGCAGTTTCCCAATGTCTAGTATTCGGTACCATACATTCTGGTAAAGAATCAGCAGGTAAAACGTTCCTGGTGCTTTTTTCCGTGTGAAAAGGACAGAAATCAAATGCTGTAAACGAAACACCACGACATCTTATCTAATTCCAAGCCACTGGAATCCAAAGCAAAAAAAGGTGGACTTTGAGAACAGATGACAGAATCGGATACTCGGACACTCATTGTTCCCAGACTGTACTACCAAAGAGGGACACTACATTCATGATCTCAGAAAAATCACATCCCCTCTCTGGCCTCCATCCCCTCTCCTGTAAAATAAGGCACTGGGCCACATCCCTCAGTTTAGGAATAGAGAAGTTTACCAAGAAATTCCAGTATCAGCTTTCATTAAGACTCAAATAGTAAAACATTTTGGAAAAGTTCAACAAAACCACAGCATCTCCAGAGAAGGTGGAAAGTTGCTTTAAAATAAGAAACATATGATAATACAATAAGCAAATCACTGTTTTTTTTCTTTTCTTTTCTTTTTAACCCATTGAAAGAAATGGTACGTATAAAGCTGTATATAACTAGCTGAAGCTTGAGGGGGACTTAATCCTCACGAACCTACAATCCCCCTTAGAAATCGAGGCGGGGGCATTGAGCAGCCTTAAAGCTTATGTGAATCAGTTCTTGGATCTGAAAGGTGAAAAAGGAAGATAAATTGCTAATTTCCACCTTTACCAACATACGATATTTACTCCCACGGTTCGAAAGGAATCATCATATGCTAAAATCCAACCTTCTTAAAATGCACCCCCACTCTGCAACCCTACATGTTGGCTGCTCCTTTCTGTGGAAAAGCCTTGCCTGTGTTTCCATTTCCATTGTTTTTATAAAGCAGATCTTGGCTGCGGGCATCTTGTCTTACTCTGTGACTAATTCAACTTTACAAGCCAAAATATTCCATAGTCAGTAACCCACGTGAAGATCGAGTTCCTTTTTTTTTAAAGAAATATTCTGAACATACAAAAAGATGAATAAAATAATATAATAAACAGCAGTGTACCTACCACCCAGTCCTAGAAATAAAACACTGCAAGAACACTGGAAGCCCCTGGGCACCCACTCCCACTCACGTTCCCCTCTGTTTCCAAGTGGTAACCACAATCCTGAATCTCCTGAATCCAGGGCTCATCACCCCCATGCAGCTCTCTCACACACCACGCAGCATATACATTTACACAATCTTCTTAATCTTTCCATCAGCGGTACCACTTTGAATGCAACCAATCTATTACTTTGTTTTCCTTGCTCAATTTCATGTTTATGACAGTCATCCATGTTAACACCTACAGCTCTCATTCCCTTCTGTTCACTGATGCATAATATTCCATTATATGAATGGATTACATAATTGGCCAAAGTCACTACTTGGTGTTTCATATGGCTGCCTAGTACCTACTCTGTGCCACCCATTTTCCATAACATATTCCAGAATTCTCAAAACCACCTAATGAGGAAGGTAGGATTCCCACTAGACCAAAGCAGAAACTGGGACAGATGGGTAGTGTAACTTGCCCAACACTTATGAGTGGCAGATTCAGGCTCCAAGTTCCAGCCCATCCAGTTCTAAAGCCACATTCCCAACACTGCATCTTGTAGCCCCACTTATGTAGATACCTCCATTATTCAAAAAGATTAAAAACCTGATAGGAAGGCTCTAAAGCCATCTGAGAAAATCTGAAACAGGATGCTCCATTTTCTTTTTTAACAAACAATTCCACAGGAAACTCAGCTGTACACAGGGACAGTCCATGTGCACAGTTAGCACAAGACTTTCTTTGGCAAAAGTCCCTATGCACTCACCGGAGTCACTCCCAAGTTTATACAAATGCTTTCTAAGTAAGCCCGAGTTGAACTGCAACTCTCCTTGGCTTCCTTTGGAGAAACAGGCTGTCTGCACCCACTTAAAGAAGGCATAGAGGAGCATAAAAGAACACAGCAGTCAGATTTTGCTCAGAATGGCAAGAGCTAAGTTGACAGAGCTCTAAGAACAACCTCAGGGAGCAGCTCCAACTGCTGCTGGCTTCAGAGATGCTGGGAACAGCCGTTTGCTCGCAAGGCCAAGGGCGCTAGGCACAGCCCACTCTGCTCTCCACTTGGCCAGCTCTGCAGAGAGCTTTCACACATCCCAGCCCAGCCCTGCTGCTCTGGAGAAAGCCCAGATTGCAATACAGAAGAGAAGCGAGAAAGAGGAGTGAGGGTGGAGGCTCACAGGAACCAGGCAAGGGAGTGAGGCCAAGGCCCAGACTCCCAGGCCCTCAATGGAAGCAGAGAGCCCCTAGGAGATGATAGGACCCCCAAGGGCAGGAGAGGCTTCTCAGCACCAGGACCAGGACTCCTGACTTTAGTCCCATGCTTCTACATAGTGTGTTTCTCCACTAGAAGATTAAGGAAGCCTCAATGGACAAGGCACAGCTGCTGAAGCAACCCTTTCCCATCTCTCCCAGCCAAAATACGGAGCAAGCAAACAGGCTCTGCCACTTAATGGCTGTGTGACCTTAGCTGGGGCGTTCCTGCCCACTTGGGCGGGGGTTGCCCCGCATTATCTCTAAGAGCCCTGCCATCTCTGCCTCTCTCACTATAGCACTGAATGCAACAACATTTACGAGTGATAAGAATATAATTCATGTAATTCCAACACCCCCATTAAGTATATACTACTGTTATCCGCATTTTACAGAAGAGGCAGATGAAGCACAGAGAGGTTAATAACTTACCCAAGGGCAAGAAGCCTACAGTCATGAATGCCTGGGAGGGGTACACAGGACGTCCACGAGATGGGGGGTGGGAGGGCAGAGAAGGGCCCGAGGGAAGGCGCAGAGGGAGTTAACGCGTTAGGGGACTGAGTAGCCCCCAGCCCCTCCGGCCTAAGTCCAGGTAAAGGGCTTGAGATAGAGACACGGGGACAGAGTACGAGGAAGAAGTAGGGAAAGGAGGGCAGATTGGCTTTAGAGAGAGGAGGGTGGATGGAGAAAGTCCGATGGGCAAAGGAGGTGGGCTTAGCGGGGGTATCCCGGGAGGCCAAGCAGGGGAGCCGGGGAGGGACGTGTGGGCGGGTTCGGCGGGTAGGCGGCAGGTGCGGGGCGGCGGTTCCCACCTTGAGCACCGTGACGGCTCCCGCGCTGTGCACCTGGAAGTGCGCGGGCGGCTCGGCGCCGGGCTCCGCCGCCTCGTCGGGGCCCGTGTAGCTGAAGCAGGCGTCCGCGATGTCCAGGTGGCCGAGAGGCAGCGCGTCCTGCGGGCTCTTGAAGTAGTAGAGGTAGCAGCGGCGCGCGTCGAACACGAACCAACGGCTGCGGTAGCCGCGCAGCGGGCCCTTGCCCGACAGCTTCTGCAGGTAGCCGCAGAGCCGCGCTGGCTCCCGCCCGGGCCCTGCCCCAGGCTCCGCCGCTGACCCCGGGGCCGCGCCCTCGCCTCCGCTGCCCTCCTCCGCCCGGGCCCCGGGCCCCGGCATCGCCAGCCAGCACGCCAACCG